TGTTATTAAAAGACTACAATCTTGGCTGGATGTGATGGCTCAAGCTTGTAATCCCAGCACTTTGGGAGGCTGAGGCAAGAGGATTGCCTGAGCTCAGGGGTTCAAGACCAGCCTGGGCAACTTGGTGAGATCTCATCTCTACAATAAATCCAAAAATAAGCTGGGTGTGGTAGTGCACGCCTGTGGTTCCAGCTACTTGGAAGGCTGAGGTGGAAGGATCGCCTGAGCCCAGCAAGTTGAGGCTGCAATGGCCATTAGCATGCCACTGCATCCTAGCCTGGGTGAGTGTGAGACTCCAGCTCAAAAACAAAACAAAAGAAGCAAAAAAGAACACACTTCTGATAAGATAAAACAAGAAGCCCTTTCAGAAACATCCTTGGCTACACTCCAGGAATTACTATAACTCTCACTTCACAGATTTCTCACAGATTCCAATGACCAAATCTTGCCCTTATAAGGAAAGTGATAGGAAAATTTTGAAATTGTTGAATAGAAATCTTTAAATTATTGCATCTCTGCATTTGCACTATATACATTCTCTTTTCCAATGTGCAGAGATTGGATAAAAAGGCAACAAGTGAAATATAAATTCATTAGCACCCTCCAACAGGAGGATTACTAAAGAGAGCTGCTGTATCTGCCTGCATAAAAAAAATTAGAGATTTGGAATGCTGCTTGTCATGAAGCAATCCAAAAATGTTTTTACAAATCAGCATTACAGGGAATGACAGTTAGAAGTATGTCAAGAGTGACCAAAATGTACTGTTTTAAGGATAGGTTCACAGACAAGGAAGATATTAAGAAGAATAACCGATGTGGTGCTCTTAAGACTAAGCACTTTTTCACCTTACAGTAGTGCAGGGAAGAGGTGGGAGAAGGAAAATGCGACAGAGATGCATGATAGAGGAAACTGTGCTCATATTCACTAATAATACTCCATGCTGACAAGAGTACATCACCCAAATTGAGATAACAGTAATCAGTTGGTAATCAAAGTGGGAAAAAGAGGAACTATTAGATCAATGCCTGACACTGCCACACTGAAGGCAAGAATGAGAAAGGAGGAAGGGCACAAAGACATCTCTAGCAGCAGCAAATAGTGGCCAAAATGCTAGGAACACTCAACATTCTGACAGCAGGGGAAAAAATCAGTAGCACAAAGGTTATAAGATGGAAAAACACATGCTGATACTGGCAGGGAGAAGATACAAGCCTTGAGGGCAGTATACACAAGGAAGCGTTCACAACTGACTAGCGCTGCTCGCTTCACTATATATATCTATTTTGAGTTAGGGTCTCACTCTGTCACCCCGGCTGGAGTATAGTCACATGCTCACTGTTTACCACGGCCTTGATATCCTGTGCTCAGGCATCTGCCTCAGCTTCCCAAGGGACTACAGAAGCACATTACAATGCCTAGCTAATTTTTTGATTTTTTTTGTAAATACAAGGTCTCACTATGTTGCCCGGGCTGGTCTCGAACTCCTGGGCTCAAGCAATCCTCCTGCCTTGGCCTCTGAAATTGCTGGGATTAGAGGGATAAGCCACCATGCCTAGCCAGCTTCACTATTTTTTTAATTTTCCTCTTCCCCAACTGCTTCAGTACTTCTCCTTTTGACTGTAACAATCTCCTAGTATTTTTTAAGAGCCTTCTCTGGATTTGCTTGGGCTTTTTTAAAAAAACATTTGTACTGCAGTATTTGTGTGTGTGTGTATGTGTGTGTGTGTATTTTGAGTCAGAGTCTCACTCAGTCACCCAGGCTGGAGTGCAGTGACACGCTCAAGGCTACCGCAGCCTCAACCTGCTGGGCTCAGGCAATCCTTCTACCTCAGCCTTCCAAGTAGCTGGTATTACAGGCATGCGCCATCACCGCCAGCTAATTTTTTTTTATTTATTGTAGAGATGGGGTCTAAACATATTACCCAGGTTGATCTTGAAATCCTGGACTCAGGCAATCCTCTCAGCCTTGCAAAGTGCTGGGATTACAGGCATGAGTTATTTCACTGGCCTGCAACATGCATTTAATATCACCTAAGAGAGACTCTGATCAACCTGCTGCACTACTAAAGGTCAGCTGAATGAGAGTGACAGACTATCTCTCTTCTTTTCTGAAAGAGGAATTTAGGTAGGTACAAAGTTCTCTCCAAAGTCCTTCAGTCCTGCAAGCCAGAGACCTGCTACCAAAGATTATCTTCCCTTCTGTTGTGACCTTTCCATCTCAATTGCTCTGGGTTTAAGCTTTAAAAAAATTTTAGGGTTGGGTCAGGCACTGTGACTCATGCCTGCAATCCCAGTACTTTGGGAGGCCAAAGGGGGAGGACTGCATGAGGTCAGGAGTTGGAGACCAGCCTGGGCAACATAAAGAGTCCCCATCTCTAACAACAACAAAAAAAGCACCACTTGTAGTCCTAGCAAATCTATAGGCTGAGTCAAGAGGATCACTAGAGCCCATGAGGTTGAGGCTCCAGTGCATGGTCACTGTACCACTGTACTCCAGTCTGGGTGAGAGAGTGAGATTCTGCTGCAAAAAAAAAAAGAGAAAGAAAGAAAAGAATAAAAACCTTAGAGCTGGCGACTTTAGTTTAGAAAGAAAGAAAAGAATAAAAACCCTAAAGCTGGTGACTTTGGCCTAATTACCAAACCCCAAATCAGTCATTTCAAACTGTGTCCCAATGAGATGCTTCCAGGATAGACAAGTGGCTGAGCTGGTGGGGCCCGGCCATCCTAAACTCAGTTTCACCAGAGCACAATGCTTTATACACTGGAGTTCCAGGTAAGAATTCATGGAGAGACACTGTTCTACTCCTTTAAAATGTTTGAAAATCACAAATCTGGAGAAGAATTTTTAAGTCTAGATGTTGGTTTGTATAGAGTCAATACTGATTGAAAGGTGTATTTCATGCCTTAGTTGGGGGGTTTGGGACCACCCTGGGCAACTTGGTGAGACCTTGTCTCTACAATAAATCAACTGAAAACTAAGCAGGAGTGGTGGCATGCTACTTGGAAGGCTGAGGTGGAAGGACTGCCTGAGCCCAGTAGGTCGAGACTGCGGAGGCTAGGAGTGTGCACTCCAGCCTGGGCGACAAAGAGTGACACTCAAATTCCAAAAAAAAAAAGAAAAGAAAAGAAAGAAAAGGTGTATTTCAAACCATTCACTTAAAAAAATGTTTTTAAAATTGGGTCTTTGAATGGACAATATGTAAATGTTTATATCTTCTTCTCTCATCCCCATTTTACAGACGTTAAAATGGACGTTAAAAGAGTCAATTGGATACACCTCCTTAGTCGATTTAGCCTCTGAGGACACCGGGGAGTCTATAAAATAATTACATATCTGCAGGTACTGATCGTCTATTTTTTATCATTACACGACAATCAAATTGGGTATGACCACAACTGGGTGTGTGGATTGGCACGTTAAGAAGGCATTTAAGAGCGGTAGGATTGACAGGCGGAAGCAAAAGGTGTGCGGACGCCAAGGTGAGAGCTTTTCTCTTATAGAAACCGAGCCTCAACAGCACATTTCCTAAAGTGAAGGACTTCTCTGCCTAGGAGAGGCTTCCACTTGTTTCTCATGAGCCAAATCTGGCTTTGGGTAAACCCTCAAATATCCGCTCTCAGTGGAAAAGCAGGCTTCCCTTGGGCAAGTAGATTAGGGATCGCCTCCCCCGCCTTGGGATAAGAAGGACAAACGAGACGGCAGTCTCGGGTGTCGTGGCGACGGCGACAGCGACGCTTGGGAAAGGGGGGAAAGGGGTAGATTCCGCGCCGTCCTGCGGCCCCCGGGCCTGTCAGCTCGTCACCCACCCACCTACCCCCATTCTTCGGTCTCAACTTACCAGATGAAAGCTACAGCTCTGGGCAGGGAGCAAGTAACTGGGCAGAAGAGAGTAGAGTTCCGCTGCGCTTCTTAGAGCCGCTGCTGGGAAGAGACCGAGAGCCAGTGACTGCAGCCGTCGCTACCGCCTCTGTTACTGGGGGGTCTCGCCTCCATCGCTGGCTGCGAGGAGTCTGAGGGCACGTGACCGGAAGTATAGAGGCGGACCGGGGGCACGTGATCCCAGAGCGAGGCCGCCATGACACTTTCCGCTAGTTCCCTCCCTCCCCCACCGGTTCCCGCGTGTTTCGTTTCCTCTCTCCGGCCTCGAGCGGTGAAGGGTCCCGGGATCCTGGTAGGCGCATCCATTTGGCCTACAGCTCCTCCGGCTCCGGCCGGTGCCGTGTTTTCAGTCCGCAGCGACCCTCCGACTGCAGGCCGTAGAGAGCGTAATCGCTACAGCGGCCTAAGGGGGAG